CAGGAATGGTCTGGCTCCAGGTCTATTTAATTAAAACCCTGAAGGTTTAAATCCCACTATATTACATAGGCATTACTTGCTCAGAGTTAATTACAGATTCCAGCTGGAGCATGACCCTTTCTGCACCAAAAGGAGCAACTCTGCTAATAGGGCAGCTCTGCAACATCACTTTCTTGGCACCTGAATCCTGGACTTGGCATACCTAATTAAGACCAATTAAAATGTCGACATTAAGACCCTATTACAGAAACACAGTGCCTTCCCAGTAGAGATACCAGCATTCTACAAGGGATATCCTTGAACATTTCTTCTTTTGCAAGTGTTGTCTCCAGCAAGCCAGCTCCACCTTCAATACTATTGATCACCATTCAAAGAGGAATGTTTGTTTCCAAACTGCCCACATTATGGGTCATCTACCCCGATGCTGAGGATACTGAGCTATTCAGGGAACTCAGCTCCAGCATTTCAGGAGGAAAATGCATGATTTTTAACCTGTGCCAGAAGTTTTATGTTTGAGCAGCTGGAGAACAAGGAAAAGCATTTTTAGGAAATAAGACCCGAAGAGATGATTGAGGTGGCTGTGCCCAAGCCTTTGCCTTTGCAATTCAATGCACCAACACAGTTCAGCTCTATTTCATGAACGCCCGAGGACCATGTTTTCCACACCCCTTGTCCTGCAAAGCTCTCGTCTCAGAGGTGAAGCTCTGCCCTCTTGATGATCTTGATGATGCAGTAAAAGGCCAGATGCGCAACTGCAGGGCGTTACAAGTAGAGATGGCACTGCTTTATGTGCTTTGTTTCTGCCATGCCGGGAAGATGCTGAAAATTCCCAGATGATCATAGAAAGCAGTTCACATACCTCTGGGAAAAGGGGGATGCGGCTGAACCTGAACCCTTTTTTCACAGCCTGGAGGGGAAAAAACCCCCACAACCCTCCCACAACTCCTTATTCTGATTGTTTGATTCAATGGTGTGATCAGAATGCATCAGTCCATAAAGTATCTGGTAAAATTATAATGCCCCCGGATCACAAATAAACCCCGGATCACATACAGGTTTTAGGCGTGTTATTTCATAGGAAAGCAGAAACCCTTTTTTTTCTCTCCCCCCTCCTAAAATCAAATTATGCATAATAAGGACTTGGGAGGAATGATCCTTCCTGGATTGCAGAGGGAATCAGCAGAAGCCCCAGAACATGACAGAAACAGAGTGAATCTGGTGCAAATTTATTTTTAATTTTTCTGATGTTTACAGCAGCCTACTCCTCTTTTAAATACCACTCCCTCCTCTTCTTGGGCTGAGACACTGTTTGCTTAGAGATGAAACCCCTGAGCCCAGAGATAAAATACGGGCCTTCGGATCTAGGTATGAATATAACAACGAGCATGATTCTGGAGGAACATATCAGCTTATCCCAAACTGAGAAGCAGCAGTGTTTTCTGGAGGGGCAACAAGACTAATAATTATAATAATAATAATAATAAAATACAAAAAAGTAGAATACTTTTTTGCTCTGCAAAATCAAACCCTAATTGCTGCAGTGCATCAGCGTGCAGACAGCTAGTAAGCAAATACTCACATCTCCTTTATAGCTCTACAGCCTAGATGGGAAAGATATGAAATGGCAGTTCAAATACTGTGCCTGTGTCAAATCATTGGGGAGTCTGACTCCCTAATTGTTGTTCTGCAGCCAGAACTAGCTTATACATGTATGTTCAGATTTGGGCTTGTTAGAGAACGTTCTGTCAAAGGCATCAGGAAAAACTGAACTTGAACAATCTGGAAAAAGCTGTGGTTTGGGGTTGGTGTTTTGGTTTGGTTTGGTTTGGGGTTTGTTTGTTTTGTTTTTTTAAACCAGTGTCTGGTCTATTCTTCAGAAATAGAGGGCTAACAGCAGATGGGTTGTTGAAGAGTATCTGTATAGCTTGACTGAGATTACAGGGAGAATCTAAGAATTCTTTTTTCCTGGCCTCCAATTTTCTCTTCTGTGTGGAAATAGATGACAGAAGAGCAAACTGGTGACATTTTGAAGTCTCTTTGGAAACAAAGAACAATTTAGCAACATCATTATTATAGACTGTAACACACTTATGAACAGCATGTAATATAAGCTTTTTAATAATATTTGACTTAATTACCCAGATTACTGTCTCTTCAGTACCTCATGGTTATCACTGAACACCTTCAATTTACATTCTTAAGTAAGTTACTGTGTAAATAAAGTATGCTCAGAGTTCTCGTATGTGGACAGTACTTACATTTAATTACAGATGATCTGGCTATGTTTACAGGTGCAAAATACATTAAAATTGTTTACAGGAAATAAGCTCAACTAGCACTAAGCCTGGAATCTAAATGTTCACAACAGCACCGACAGTAGCTCTGCTATTTATTTTAACATGCTTTTCAAAATGTACTTTGGAACGCAGTAGAAAAGAAATTCAAAGAAATGCCAAAAAGGGGGAAGCACAGAAGATCAAAACTCCATAGCAGGCTGGATCAATAAAATATTAAACTGCAGTTCTTAAATGTAAGTACCACACCAAGTAGTAGTCTGGTTGGTCTTAAATGGTGTTAAAGCCCTTGTTTTCTAAAGGAGACCGCAATAAGCATGTTGCCTATTCAATCCAATCAAGATTTAGGCATCGTGCTATAAAAGCAAACATATCTGACACTTCTTCTATAACTTTAGCAGTCGGCTTTCCTGCTCCATGCCCAGCCTTGGTGTCAACATGGATGAGAAGCGGATTGGTTTGTTTCCGGCTTCGGCCCACAACATATTGCAGAGTTGCAATAAACTTCAGTGAATGTAGAGGGACCACACGATCATCATGGTCTGCTGTGAGAAGCAGCGTAGAGGGATACTGGATGCCATCTTCTTCTGGTAGTTTGATATTGTGAAGTGGAGAGTACCTGAGAAGAGCACACAAATGTTTACATATTTTTTTGCCTTAAGGCCCAACAAGAAGGTCCTCTCATACTGCAGTCGTCACAGTGGCATTTGATAGCACTCAGAATACTACAGTTCTCAGTTGCAGAAATCAGAATTGCGCTACTGGCAACTGATACGTGGAACTGGCCACAGATCTCTGGCTCTCAAACGTGAAGCAAGTACATTTCTTTAATTTCAGAGAGGCATATGCATACATCTCATGGAAATGCCAAAAATATCAGGAATGGGCAACGGGGAAACTGCAGCAAAACCTGTCAAGTCCGCAGCAGGCTCCATCCTGCAGTGAAACAGGGAAATTGAGACTTTTCCCCAGCATATGTATGTAGTCCAGGTCTGCATGTGGATGGCTTCTTCCCATGCAAATTTGGAAACTGTCTCTGATGGTAAGCCGCAAGTGCTGTACATTCAGTTTGCTCCCTCCAATATTTAAGCCATCTTTGAAGATGCACGTACTCTGAGGGAACGCCATGCAGGAAACTGAAAGGAGAACTCAGTTTTCCTGCTTTCAATAGATTACCTTGATTCCTACTTTTTGAGCAATGAATAACCTAAATTTCAAAATTTGCTTTCTTTGCAGGAGAATTTACATCTTTTAGCTACTGTAACATAACATAAAAGGTATATCTACATATCTCAACACAAGGTACTCTAGCATTAGAAATTAAATGTAAGTCACAACAAATTCCATCTATTTCATACTTCATTTAGACCTAGGAAGAAGGTTATATTCCTTAAATCAAGAGTAGGATACTATTTTTCCTCCTATTTCATGACAGGAAATACAGAAGGAAATTTTGCTTTATTTTTGAATAATTTCCCACTTAGAGGGATATCCATTAAGTAAGTCCAAATTATTTTTAAGAACATGTGACAATATTTGAATGTCTAACCTAACAGATTCCTGGCTTCCTCATTTTCGTCTAAGGAATAATGTAAGTGAATTTGCAGACTATGATTTGTTTTGAAAAGAAGTTAAATGATAGTTACTACATGCCACTCTATTTGCCTTATGTATTTTTTGGGCCTCTGTAAAGGCAACATCTAAGTAACATTACATATATATGTTCCTACATTTGATAAGCAATTGCCAGCTGTTGAAAAAGAAACAAAGAAATATTTCAGGTATTGCCATATAAGATGTTTCTAAAATTATGCATTGAGATTTTGTGAGTAAGCACGTGTGTAAGCATGTATGGAGCGACTCCTTCTACAGATGCATTTCTCGTAATCACAGAATGAATTTAAAACTTTGCTTGTACTTTACCTCTTCAGAATATCTGAATTCACAGGTGTGCAGAGAAGTTTTACTGTCCAAAATCATGAAGATTATATGGATTATTTTTATAACAGTTAATCTTTTTTATCCATTATCTGTTATCTATTGATAAAAGATGAATTATGAAATTTGTTAATGGTTTTGTGCACTATATTTACAAAAATGTGTTTGCCAGTGAAAGCTTAAATTAGACAACTGGAGGTTTTGAAACAATCTAATTACAATGGGCCCAACTGCTTATCTAGTATTTGGACATGACATTGATTTTTTTTTTTTTTTTTAATAGATGCTTTAGATCAAGTTAGATCTCAGTGTACTTGTAGCACATGTACTTTTTAATATCCAAACACTATTAAATTTCAGACAGCCAAATTGTTTAGTGTGTCTGAAGCATTCTTCTGGAATGTCAATCTTCATTATTAAAGGAATACAAATGCAATAACAGAAGATGAAGTTCCAGAAAAATATTTTAAAATGATGGCACTTATTCTAGCACACTCTTTATTAGCCATATCCAATGTGCAGATAATTTCTATTCTCACACAGCTGTCTCTCTCATATCTTTTTTTTTTAAAATAATCTTTCCAGACCTCTCGGCAAGGAGTTAAGAAATTAATTAATATCCTGTTATGGTCTACTGCCATTTGATTCCTACAAATAAATCCTATCCACACTGTATTATATAATTCACAATGGTGGCTGTCTCTCCCTCATCGTAAAAAATACAATTCATTTAGTGGTTCTCTTGAAAATATTCTGTTGCGACAGCCTAAAGGAGTCATTATTCAGAAAGAAAACCTTACCACTTGTAAAAGCTGCTAGTGGAACAAAGCCTTTGAAAATATGACCAGTTGACCCAACAGGGCTTTGAAGATGGTCTTTCGTGCAAAACTGACTTGGAAGGAAATGCTGAACTCCCCAAATCCAGTGTGGGAAAGGATTAAGTAATTCTTAGAATAGATATTGATTATGACAACCTGGAACTGTTGAGCAGACTATGCATTTTAACAACCACAAAAGTATTTAAAGGCACTTACTTGCACAGCCATTCAAACTGCTCTTTGCAGTCGGAGCAACCGTAGTCAGTGGTCCAAGCATGGCCAATGGTGTACTTGTGGAACTTGAGCATGTCCATCACTCCCACTTGGGCAATAGCACAACCAAATAGGTCGGGGCGCTGGTTAGCACAGGCAGCTTCGACAGGAAAACAACTCTATTAGTATTTGTATCTTAAAGAATTAAGCTCAGTGGTGAAAGGTCCACTGCCAAGTTCATGGAAGACCAACTTCCAAAAAGCTGACTTTTATAAACTCAGTTTCTTTAAAAAAAAAAAATTAAGATTGTTAAGTTAAAACAATGTGAGAAGAAATATAGATTAGCATAGAATACCTGGAGCCAAAAAAACTTCAGTATAAAATATCTGATATAAACCCAATTGCACTGGGAGAAGACTGCCAGTGAAATGAAGTCAAACAGACTTTTAAGAAAAACTGAAAGCAAATACACAAATGGGTAAAAACTATAACTCCCAAAGATGGTATGTTCAAAAGAGCTTAAGAGCTATTTCCCTGTTCCTCAGGCACCAAACATGCTGTTCTTTGAAAACTGCCTTCCAAACTAGCAAACTGGGTTTAAAGGAGAAATGCAGTTTTAAAATATGTGAGCTTTTGGACTACTGAACTGAAGTTTCCTAAACCATTCACTGTCTAAACTTTTAATGTTAGTATCAACAAAACAAAGGGCATTAAGGAGCAAAAGCCTTCCATTTACTGATGAAAGTTTTCTTCCATAATTACTATGCCAACCCATATGAAAAGAGTTTTGATAAAAGCAGACTATTACAAAATCAGAGTAACCTCATTTTAATAAAAAAAATTACTGTTATATTTTCTTTTTTTATCATTTTCATCTTCCTACTACTGGAAGGGACAATTTCTTTAAGAGTAATACTTGCCTAATATTTTAAAAATAACCACAGTAGGCCCATATAGCTCAGTGTTCAATTTATAAGAGCAGCAACTGGCAGATGCTCTGGGAAAGGGTGTTAAGCAAATACCGGGAGATATTTCCTGTACATTATCAGCTTTTGAACTAGATGTTTAGGTTTTCCCTGAGTTGGAGTTGTCTCCAGCCATCCTGTTAAACAGCCATGAAAACACATATCCTCTGTAAATACACCTATTTTCCTTTCTTAATGTTTACTCATCCAGTGTTCATCATAGTCTGTAGCAATAAGTTTTTCAATTCCAATTTCTCTTGGCTTGATTTACATCTGTTGCCTGGTGATTTTACAAATTCTCCTGCTTTTTTTTGAATTTTAAGAAATAAGAGCACGGAGATTTTCAGGTAACCACTACAATGGATGCCAGAATCCCTTTCTTAATTCAGAGCTAGTCACTGTGCATCCACACATAGGTATTCTCTTTCCCAAATTCTTGTATCTCCTCGTTTTTGTCCACTGTGAAAATGGATCATTTGTTCCCACTCTTTGCCTCCTGCTAATCAGGATAGTTCTGAGGACAGGCTGAGGGAGTTGGGCTTGTTCAGCCTGGAGAAGAGAAGGCTGCGGGGAGACCTGATTACGGCCTTTCAATACCTAAAGGGGGCCTATAGGAAAGATGGGGAAAATCTTTTTAGTAGGGCCAGCTGTGACAGGACAAGGGGTAATGGTTTTAAACTAAAGCAGGGTAGGTTTAGACTAGATATAAGGAAGAAATTCTTTACAATGAGGGTGGTGAAACACTGGAACAGGTTGCCCAGAGAGGCAGTGGAGGCCCCGTCCCTGGAAACTTTCAAGGCCAGGTTGGACTGGGCTCTGAGCAACCTGATCTAGTTAGAGGTGTCCCTGCTCCTGCAGGGGGGTTGGACTAGATGACCTCTAGGGGTCCCTTCCAACCCAAAACATTCTGTGATTCTATTCTATTCTATGATTCTATTCTATAAATAAATAACACAACCTTGCTTCCAGGTCAGCAAGAACTTTCTTGCATAGCCTTATGCATGGGAGCTTGTCAAAAGCTTTTGGAAATCCAAGAGTAACTCCTCACCCAGATCACTGTTACAAGCACCATATGCTGCCTGACTCCTTCAAATAGCTCTAATAGATTTGCAAGATGTAACTTCAGCCTCCAAAAATCTTCCTTATATGTCAGCTATTACTTATGGGTTTCAATTGGTTTGCCCATTAGAGAAGTCAGATTTACTCATCTGCAGCTAGCTTGTGGATCACCATGAACTGTTTAAAAATTGGCATTACACTTGCCCCCTTCTGTTCCTCAGATATTCAGGCTTAGTAGCCTGCAATTTCGTATCGGAGTTCACTTAGGATCTTGCGTGTGCACCATCTGGTCCTGGCAACACACTACATTTCATCTGATTTGTTCCAAAACCTCCTCTGCTGATGCTTCAACTTGAGTCAGTCCTCAGACCTTTCCCTATGAAGAGACTCTGATGCAGGGAACTCCCCATGCTCTTCAGGAGGGAATATCAATACAAATAGACCGTTTAGTTGTTCTGCTCTGACATTACCTTTCTTTAGTGCTCTTTTTACACCTCACTGACCTGTAAGTCCCACAGATCCTCTGGCCAGCTTCCTACTTCTGATGTGCATAGAAAGCTCTCATTGCTAATCTTTCTATTGGAAGCAATTTGCTCATCAGTCTCCTGTGGTTCGTCAGTTCCTGTCAGAGTTTATGCTTTACCCTATTTTCTTCATTTGAACAAAAAGAAATGAACAGAAAATTCTGTTTTCTGAAGGATGCAATTTTACTTCTGGTCATCTCTGATGTGTAACTATGCTAACTCTTCCTGTGTCCTTTCTGAGCCATTTTCATAAGGTATAAATGGTGCCTTAAATACCTGCCATGTAAAAGCTCTTTATCCTTTTAACTGGAGCTTTTGATCAGATCCTTCCCCTTTGTGTTATTTCCTTTTAGGAACATAAATTGTATACTGGTAGGAAAAAAAGCCCAAACAACTATCATAGCATTTAATTTTAGTACTCTCTATTGCAGAGTGTCTCTTGAAGCACTGTGTGTTGCTCAGGATTTTATAAAAAAAATGCTGCTCCTGTTTCCCTAAATAGTTACTTCAACAAGAAATCATTTATGGAGACACTCATCCATTCCCACTGCACCCCTGTAATTAGCCATAATACTTAATTATATGCATTAATAAACTGTAACCGAGAGCAACGATTTATTCATTAATTTTACTCCTCTACACATACTTTGAGCTTTAAAACTCAGTACAAAAGTAAGATTTCAAAACCTCAGAACCGTTTGTCAGAGCAAGCATGAGAGGTCAAACACTGCGCTTGCGTAACGGAGGTTTTCAGCTCACAGCTGTGCTGCTCTACTCAGTTTTGGGATCACACCGCAGGACAAGGAAGTCTTGTTTTGCAGTTGAATGAGGCAAGAGCTCAGGGCTCTGCACTCCTCAGAGACACCTCCTGTTAGTCAGACTAGAAGGAAACAGTATTTTGGAAGAGTGACAATACTCTTCCTTGTCATTTTTTTCTTCAATAAATGAGAACTGAGAAAATCTGGCAGTGGGTCCTTGCACGTAAAGTACGAGTTATGCTCTGTAGTGTCGCATGAACGACTACTGCAAAATTTAGTTCTGCTTCGATGGAAAAGCACTTACAAGAATCCCCTTCTGGCTCATCAAGAGCACGGAAATCCAGCTGGATTGTAACCCATCTGCAAGTGCGAGGGAAGGTTTCTAACAACAGATTTTTCAGAGCAGGGAGGTCTAGATTCCTAACACCTGTCTCCTATTGGAATGACATACACGCTTGCAGATGTCACTTGCTTCCCCTTACCTAAATAAGGAGCCCAGCTTACTTGGTTCAGCCAGAAACACAGGGTTTTCGATGACTAAAGCTGGGTAGGATGAATCTCATCCTGTCCGTGTAACCACAGAACAGTATTTTTAGAAGCTATGTAACACACTGAAAGTTTAATTGCAATTCCAAATAGATATTTATGCTCACATAAAACTGACTTGTGCAATGCTCACACTCCTAATGGTATGCAAACCCTTTAATCCTTTACCATATTCATCCATTTCTATTGGCACTCTTACTTACAATACACAAATACTTTCTGCCACCTGTAACAGAGAAGCATATAAGCAGAAAGCAAAAATAAAACTTTACATGTACTTGTTATTTATCTTTAAAACAACAGCTTTTTAAAAGCAAGAATGCAGGAATAGCCAAGATGGCTTAGACCAAAGATCTATATAACTCCAAATCCTGTTTCTTATGCTGGATACTAGTTCACTGAAAAATAAAATAAAATCAATAGAGCCAATATTCAGCAGCAGATAAACAGGGAGGAGTATAAAAAGAAGAGCAAGCAAAGAGTGGGCCTAGTAAATCTGCTCATTTTCTATAAATCTGGTTTATGAACTTGAAATGCTTTTTTTTTCTCCTCATGAGTAGCTCAACCTTGTCATACTGTCACATGCCTTTCATACTGTTTAAAAAAACCACAAACAAACCCTGATATTATTAATTTGTGTTTCCTTCTCCTTTCAAAATTGAACAAAATCACCTCCCTCCTTCTTCTACTACTTTCAAATACAGGGATTTAATCAGAAATAAAGTTTGTAGCTCTTTAAATACTGCTCAGCCTACAAGACGTTTTTGTGACAAGCTTTTCTGTTTAAGAGAAGGCTATTGATTTCCTTGAATTTAAGAACACAGCAGTGTGTATGTGAACAAGATGCATTTGTAACAAAGTCCTACATTTACACAGTCCCTCAAAAGCTCATGACTTTTTCAAGGAGCTGTACTTGTATTTTATGTTTCTCACCAGAGGCATTCATGATTTTATTTGTGGTCATGTTTTAACTACACAATGAAAGTAGAGTCAAATTGTTACGTGTCCCTGTACAAAGGCTTTAAACGCAGAACTGTCATGTTTTCATTTGCCCTCTAAGAACAAGAATGCCTGACTACAGAAAGAGTGAACGAGAAACTTTGATGAAGGATTGCAGGACATGGGATTCTGGCTTACGCTACAGACCACACAAAGTTTCCTGACGCTACATAGCTGATTTCTGGTTATACAGTAATTAGTTTGTAATGGTTAGCCTTAAGAAACAAAAACCAAAACACAAATGGTTTTTAAAGCATTCTTACTTACTGTGTGATTCTACCACAGGGTTAGCTCTACCACACAAGACGGTAATTGCAAGTATGGCCTTGAACAATCAGCCTTTGCTAGAAACTGCAGAATCCCAACTTCCTATGCAAGCAGCAAATGAAGTACAACTGCATATATTTAACACCTGGTATATATTAATGCACTGACATTCTGGCAACTTTTGAAAAGAGCATCTCATAAATTTTTGTCTGGTTACTTTGATAAACCCAGCACCAAACCCAGGAAATATATGAGCAGTTCTTACCAACTAAGAGGCCCCCATTTGAGCCTCCATTAATAGTCAGCTTCTTCGGGGATGTGTAGCCTTCCTTGATGAGGTATTTGGCAGCACACTGGAAGTCATCAAAGCAATTTTGTTTGTTGGCCAAGATACCACCTAGCACACAAATAAAACAAGTCAGTTGATGCCATAAAATTCATTTGATACCATCTCTTCAGAAAAAAACATGTGTGCAAAAATACCTGGGAACAATTCCAGTTTCATGAACATTTTAATAATTGATGCAGCTCAGAAAGACAGCAAAAATGAAAGATTCTTTCAACAGAGATGGTTCTGTCAATAACTCTAATGCTTTCAGAAACTCTGAATAATACATACCTATACTGTGGAGTGAGTGCCAGCTAATGTTTGTAACTAGTAAAATTAAAGCTAAAAGCTTTGCATTGCAAAATATATACAAAATTGACCACATACAATCCACTTGAGGTTTGATCTAATGGGACTTCAACAGCATTAAACTCAGTGACAATTTCTTAAGGCAATGAAGCTTCAACTTATAAACTATATAAAATAAGCATTTCTAATTTCCTGAACATAAGAGTACGTGGCTGGTAATTTACGGGTTCTTTTCTGTTAGTTGTTTTCAAAAGGGACTTCAGAGTTGTGTCTTGGTTTGAAATTTTGTTAATTAACTATCGATATGAGAATGCTTAAGATACTGCCATCCTGTTGAACAAAATTCCAAACGTGATCAGGTGTATGAGGAATAAATCATGACTGAAAACATAGGTCCATATGACATCATTGGTTAAGACTTCCAGTTCTCAAAACAGAAACATTTGCAGGGTGGGTGAGGGAAGGAAATGGATGCTTTTGCCCTATAATCTTTCAACTATTTGAGCAGAAAAATATCAACCTAGAGAACTCACCGTTGACCATATCTCATAATCTTCCTGCTTTAGATGCTTGTTTGGGAAGAGACCAAAACTGGCTTCTCCTAGAAGGTTATCCTACCTTAAGACCTGATATGTTCTTTCTCAAGCAATTTAATGCTAGTAAGAAATGGGAACTAGGAAGAAAATCCTCATATTCCTGTAGCAAAGCCCAGCCAGGTAAGAGGGGCTCAGCAGATGCAGAAGTGGAACTCCAGTTCATAGAATCATGGAATGGTTTGGGTTGGAAGGGACCCCTAGAGGTCATCTAGTCCAACCCCCCTGCAGTGAGCAGGGACACCGCTAACTAGATAAGGTTGCTCAGAGCCCCGTCCAACCTGGCCTTGAATGTTTCCAGGGATGGGAACTTCTACTTTGTTTAAAAGCTGGATGTTTATTCTAAGCTAATAGCCTAAGGTTCCCCCTATGGTCCAGGAACCTCCAGGACAATTAATTCTACCCTAAAACAGGTGAGATGAGCTATAATCTGCAAGTGTCCCTTTATCTCTATTGTCCATCCAGTGATCTTAGACACCCAGCTTACACTGGATGCCTCATTTCTATGTTGCAAAAGTTTGGTACAATAACTGTGACATTTAGTCATACAGACCTTGTAGAACTGGGACTGGTAAATTTCTAATTTTCTAACAGACACACATCATTTTCACATTAACAAAACCATTGCAGAGACACATACTGAGACAAAGAAAAAGTCTTCAAATGTGTGGAAATAAAGGAGAAATACATCTTACTCTTTGCTCAAAGTTCTGGTCTGGTGTAAGGTCAGAATCCTATCTATACAATTAAACCCAAGAAAACAGACTTCTGTAATGGCTTCTGGAATTCATAAGGAACAGACATATATCTTATTATGCAACTGCAATACAAGACTTGGGCCAAAGTTAAGCAGGAAATAGGTGGACCAAAGAAGCATTATCATACCAAGATAAATTTTATTAAAACCTATTACAAACCAATTGAGAAATTAAAATTAATGAAGGCTACTTCATCTTTAGCAACAATATCCTGTATATGCAAGCATATATAGCTTCTGTTTATGAAACTGTTACATATTTAACTCAATTGTGAGGAAATTACCCAGACAAAAAGTTACCACAGATGAAATAGTAAAACCAAGATGTAATGATCTGGGAATACCGTTTTGTTTGATAAAAAGTTATTACAAATTACTTCCATGGCAAATTGCTGCATCATAAACACCACTGTTTTGTTACATTTGCCTTGCTGACAACAGCTCCAGCAATTTATCCACCAGATTCTTGGGATATGAATAAGGTGTCACCGTTAAATAATGATGGGTATATCACAGAGATGAGTAGGACTTTTTCCAGCTTTTCCTTCTGGTGAAGGGACGTAGAAAATTGTCAACAATAAAGCAAGCAGACAAAGACAATCAAATGGTGAGGACAAGGATTGAATGAGAAAAACACGGAGAGAAATACATCAAAGGTATTAAGAAAAGGGGAAAAGAGATTGACAGGGTTTTGTAGTGAATGACTTGATTTCCCTGCAGTGTAAAAGTCAGCTTAAAAAGGTCAAATGCTTGCCTACAAGAAGTTGGACCCCCTAAGAGGGTGTGGAGGGGATGACATGTCACTGCACTTGTGGAGCTGACTGTCTTCATATAAACTTCAATCACATTCACTAGATATAAAAAAGGGTCTATTCATAAATTGTGCAAAAACAATCTGGAAGAGATACATTCTGAACTCAAAGGTTCACACCTTCTGTAAGGTTCTGCAAATGGTTTGGGTTTTTTGTGTGATTCCAAGAGAGTCTAAATAGTCAGTGCTGTTGTCTTGGGGATCTAGAATTGTGGGGCCATGTGCACCTGCAAATAATGAAAAAGGTGTCTGAAAGCAAGCAATATAGACAGACTTTTTTTTCGAAAATCAGTTCAAGACTAATAGCTGCATTTTCAAATCTGAGGATTTGAAGTCTAGGGAACTTGATCTTGCTTTAAAAAATGCAATCATTTTCTTGGAAAATATTGTGTTTGTGCAAAACTATTTTTAAGTAGGTTGCAAAAATGAAAAACATCAGGTAACACTGGATAAAGTACAAATCTAATGTATGAGTAAGGAAAAAAATTACTTTTCTACAGAATAAGTAAAATGCAAAAGGAGATGTGAGTATAGAAGAGGGAGCAAAGAGAAAATGATGTCGCGTTCATCGCTAAGCCTGCAGTTTTGTTCCTCTACTTGGACTGATTTACCTTTGTGCCAGGTCTCTCCATATTCACCACCGCCCCTAATGTTCGCCACTGCTAGAACACCTCCCAGGTGTCGCACAAAGATAAGTCTTGACACACTGAAAGAGCAAACAGGTAGAGGATTATTTTTAATTTCCAATTTTTATATGCCTGCCACTTCTAGAAAAATACTTTGAGGGAAAGATCTCTCCCCAAATCAGTGATGGAATTGTGAATGAAGTCCCCCTTGATGGCAAACTGAGTAGCCAGGCTTTTTTCAATAGTTATCCATGGAAATGAAACGCACTGCAGCCTCAGGAGAGGAAGGAATCAGTGCTGGTCCATTCATCTTCTTTTAGTTCTGCATTTTGGAAGGAGAGTGGTCAGTGGTTCTCCCTAACACAAGATCCCTCAGGACATGTCAACATTTTTTTTATCATCTTCCAAGCCTTCAGTGGGGACTGGAGCTATGCAGTACCACTGGACCCCCATAGCTTTCTGAGCTGTTCCTCTTCTGGGGGGTCCTCTGCTTTTTCAGAGAGGAAAGGAAGGCTTACCCCAAATGAATAAAGCAAAGAATTAAGACTTAAGATCAGCACTTGATCTTTGTTTATGAGCAAGTATTTTCAACTTCTCTTTAATATCCTTTTTTTTTTGGACCTTTGTAACAAGGACCTTTTGGACCTTTGTTTGCTAAGAAAAACTGCTTCTGCCACTGTTTTGTGCCAGGGTCTGCAGTCAAGTTCTGGCCAATCCCCTTATTTATTTTCCATTTGCATTGCTAACTACAAAACAAATAGTAAAAAACAAAATTACAAGTTCTGCCTTCCCTAGTATCTCTAGAATGTGGATGAAAGCTAAAGTAGCATAATTTTTTTTTTAAAATGTCAAATTGTAAAAGTATCAAAGCTATTGCTATCTTTTTAAAAGGGACTGAAGTAATTTAAATTACATTTAACAATTAAGAGGAGAAATAGATCTCTGATCTGTTGAGGCAGTAGCTTAACATAGCAGAAGCTCCAGATGGCAAACCACACATATGCCAAGGAGACCAGTAAAATATTAAAATTTAATCCCGATGAGTCTTTTTTTTCCATCTAGTAGGTTTATATTTCTTATTTACTTGAGATCTTTGCTCATGCAAGAAACCACTGCCTGCAGAAATTAATCCTATTCAACCACAAGAGCAATGATTGGGCCTTTTTACCTTTAAGTCTCCCTACTGCTTATCAGAAATGTCTTAGAAGACAGTAGTCCTGCAATGTGCCTCATGTGGATGTAGTATCAAAACAGGTATATTTTTCATACCTCCCAAAGCAATTATCTATGTACTGGCACTTGTTCTTGAGCGTATATACCAAGGATTAAGGAAACCAAAAGAAAAGCAGAAGGTTGACTGATAAGAGATTTCTGTATTTCCGTAACCCATCAAAGGGAAAACTTTCCACCTAGGCTGGTTATCTGTGGCCATCAGATGGCTCAGGAAGCATGAATTATCTCTGCTTCTCTAAAATCAATTCTGAAATCCATCACTGTGAATTGTATTTTCCTTAGGTTGCTGTGGCATGTTGATCAGATGCAAGATGGGCATTCTATAAGCACACTATACAAAGGTCAGAGAGCATTATTCTGCCAAACTCCAGAATGCCTAATTTCGACAGGTTGCTACGCAGATAATGTGGAGTGGCCTGACAGTAAGTTGCCTCATAAGAATGTGGCTTCTTAATTTTTGGTATGTTAGAGCCACAAAACCTCTGAGTGTTCTGCACTTCTTTTCCCTGTCTCTGTCCCAAACAAAATCAATAGAAACTTTTTGGTCCAAACTTACTTTATCTCCTAGTAATCAAAGGTAGCAAGTATAGGAATTGCAGGTAAGGTAAGAGCTTGCCTGAGAGTATTTTAAAAATAAAAAATTCCAGAACAGAGTCCATCCTCTTCCATCTGCTAAAAGAAACTGTGTCCGTCTGAGGGATCAGCATATTTAACCAGGAAAGAATCTGTGAGCAACACAAAACCAAAGTACTGAGTGCATCCTATCCTGTCCGTGGACTCCTCTAACAGAGATGGTACCTTGATGATAATTTTTGGAGCAGTCTGAGTGACTTAGGATCTCATAGGATGCACAGCACTTTTATTACGAGAAGCCAGTCCCCATTTCCACAAGCAAACAATTTTTCTGTTGCACAGACCCTCAGTGGGATAAAGTCCAGAGTTTGGTGACAATTATTATATTGCCCAAATTAAAAGTACAGTTTAGTGTATCTGTGCTCACTCTCAGCAATACTACTATGATTTAGACACTTCAGAAAACATTACCCCATATACCCCAAGAATACACCTAGTAATGTCACTGCCAGTGACTATTAATTAATACCTACTCTGGTATGGTCCGTAGGAAAGTGAGTCAGGACCCTAACTTTGAGGTAGGTGTGCCTAGAGCTTATAACAGGCTTTCTCAAAGTGACTTTTAAGTTCAAGGAACCAGATTTTATCAGTATATAATCAGGACTCATTAACTTTTAAAAAAGTAAAAAGTCCAAGTGATCAGACAGCACAAAATTAAAAGTTTCATACATAACACTGCTACTCCTGTGTTCTTCCAGGTGGATTCTTGCTTCCAGATTTGATTTCAAGTCATCTTGGGTGTCTGAGTCACAACAAACTGCCCAGTTGCCCTGTATGCCTACAAAATGTCTCCTTCTGCAGAGAAAAGTCTGGCTCCCTGCTCTTCCCAGAAGTCTCTATAGCCTTTTGCTCATTATCCCTGTTTTTCCTTCTCTCCTGGGAGCAGGGTAAAGAAAAAGAGTAAAGGAAAGGGCAATAGGGTCAGGAAGGAGCCAGTGGAGGGAGCAGAAGATAGTTCCTTCCCTGGAGAGTTCCTTCCAGACCCTATCACTCTTAAGGAGGATAACACAAAAAATAAGAAAACGGGTATTGTTCTTTAGAGTACAGAACAACGTAAGGAGCTGTGCTTCAGGGAGCAAGAATACTTTCCCAGAATTACTGATCAGCTGTCAAGTATTACAGCTGACAGAGAAATGCAGGCTAGCACGCTGGTGATGGGGAAAAAATCCTGAGTCACTGGACCCAGCTGCCTTCTTGGCTTTTGTGGAGCAGGAAGAAGTGGTAGGTAACAAACTGAAAAAGAGTAATCTTGCACTCTGCACCCCTGGCTGCTACGTTGCCTGATTTTTCTGTGGGCTTACAGTCTATCCCTGCACCACCTCTTTGCTCAAAGGCTTGGTACAACCTGGCCCTGTAGCAGTGAAATGCAACTTCAGACTCTGCTTCACAGTCAGCCGTGTTTCAGGATGCAGTAGAAATTGCTTCTCCTGTACCCACAGAGGCACATACAGAACAGTGAAGGGAAACACGTTGGTTCCTGAAGGGTAATTAGCTGAATCTGAGGCATCAGTGGTGCGTTTGTGCTGTGTTTCCCCAGCAGCTCTGCCAAGCCACCGGTGTCAGCTCCATCAGCCTTAACTTGCACTCGCCATGCAGACTATATAATTAATGACAGTGCTCTAGCGGTCACTGTACTCAAAATGCTACCAAATGCAGCTCTTCAGTCCAGAGGATCATACAAAAGATTTATGCCTGCATTAAAAAATAAACCACTACTGTAACTGACTTAATGACTTTGGCCTATCATTCTCACAGTTATTTCTGGATCCTCTAACCTGTTGGTTTGTTTCTATTGCTTTCGGTGAAAAAGATTTTATTTTCTTTTTTTTTTGTGTTGGGGAATAAATGAAAAGCAACATCAGTTTCTGGATTAAGCAGAAATAAGCTCCCCAAGCCAGAGAGCTGGCTCATGTTAACAGGTGTGAAATACCAGTGTGAAAACGTTGTACTGGCTTGAAGAAATACAGGACAGAAACGAACCACTGGAAAGGAGAAGGTGGAGTGGTTTGTCAAAAGTTGTAAGAGCCTTAAGTTCAGATAACAAATCAGGAATATTTATCCAGGAACTTTTTGTTTGGTTGCTTTTTTTAAAGGTAAGCAGGCTACTACTCGGTTGGATTTCATAGCCATGCCTCGGCTCAGGGTCAGGTGAACTATGTGGCAAGCTTCAGCCTTGACCATCCTGTGGCTGCTTTCTAGCACTCGTGCCTGTGGTCACCTACAAAAAATGACCGTATCATGGTGTTGGGCTGCAGCTGGAGCAGCACTTGGACATGGGAACTACTCGTGGAATATTGCAGTACATAGTAACAGGAACGTAGTCAATGTTACTTGAATCTGCCAGGTAAAGGGGGAACCGGATGTCCTGCCTTTCTGGCATAAATTGTCTATTACAATTCCCTTTCCCTGATCTTACCTGCCTGCTTTTGGAACACACTTCCTCGCCAAGTACTCAATTCTCAGGTTATTAACCATAAAGATGCATTTGAAGGCTTTGGCTTTTCTTATTCTTCTTTTCGAAAGAGAAAGGCTGAGAAGGGATATGCTACCATGACAGGGAGAGAATGAGGAGGGAAGTGTGGCCAATCATGTTTTATTTACATTGTCAATGTATTTTGATCTGGAGGTGACTGATAGTTCTCTGTGCATTTACTTTTATGGGACTGTTACGATTCATATCCTTATTTTATGAACTGTATAATAAAGCTTTCATACGGTTCAGGAAGACACAGGTCACTGCTCCCACCTCCCATCTTCCTCTCTCCCAACCGTCAGCTGCACCCTCCTGCTGCTGTTTGCTGGACTCCTACGAGAGTCAATTTTTAACCTACCAAAATGGCAGAGAACAACCCACCCCTTTTTGCTGGGATAGTTTTCTGCCACTCTTGTGAGGCAAATCAGCTTAGCAAAGGTTCCAGCAAGCACCAGGGCCTAGGAATGGGAGGTGGAAGGCAGCACCATGAGATACCTTCTCCTTTTGCCAGCAGCCAGCTTGTGTCAGCTCTGCAGCACATGAAATTTTATCTTAAATCAACAGATATGTAATATTTACTTCAAAAAAGAAAACTCTGTAAGTTTTATCAGTTTTCAGCATCTACAATAAACTGTAATAAATAAGTGCTTGAGCCCAATCTAAAAAAGAATTAAAAACCTATTCTGGCTATATAATTGTGTTTCGCAAAAACCACAGGAAATTAAAGATGTAGCTTTAAAGGCAGATAAAAAACACTCAAATAATCATAACACAAGATGAGAGGTCCATTGTTAGACAACATATTTGCTAGAAAGGATGAGAAACTGTAAATGCTATTTAGAAATACAATTGCAGTGACCTGGAAGAGTGAGCACTACAAAGGATTTCTTGAAGTGTGCTGACTCTACAGCAAAACTGGTAGCACCTAAACCTCATAGGAAGGTTTCATAATAAATTACTTTTGTGTTGGTGAGCTGCTCTTCTACTATCTGAAAACCTGCTCTCCATTCAGTCCTTTGCCTTTCTGTTTTCCTCTGCCTTGCCTAGGAGTATTTCTTACATATCACAATTGCTGCCTCTTGGTATGTCTATTCAAATCCCCTTGCTGAGGAAATAAGCCTTTTCTTTAAAGAGATCATCTATTCAATAAAGCTTATGGCTTTTGAGGGCTGCTACAAATCCTGTTTTGCATACAGCCTTTTTGGTTTACAATGCATTGCTTTGCATATGCAGCGCCCATATCATGTGCATCTCAAGACAGAATCATCCTTCCTCTTTCCTGATTACATGGGAACACAGTAGGGTTTTGCTTCTGAAAATACATCTTAATTTTTATAATTTAATTTACATTAACTTAAACAAATATTCCATTTTCTATAATATTTAGACATAGGTAATTGTGTAACTTAGAGGAAAAAAAACCCCAAACCTTCCTATGTTATTAATTCAGCAAAGGGCTCAAATACTTGCTTACCGCAGTATGTCCATATGTTTTTCTGTTGAGCTCAGTGACAAAGCAGGAAGGGTTAAGGTGCAATACAAAGGGTGCCTGCTGTAAACCTCAGAAGAGCACAGCACTTCTCTGCTCTGACACAGATTTCTTCTGTGACCCTGGGCAAAACCCTTGAAATCAGAACTAACAAAGCAGACAAATGATGCCTGGACACTGAAGTGCAGTCCTTCTGGCCCCCACCTTGCATCTCAGGGACCTGAAATGCATTACTCTGTCAGATTCATAGCCCACCCTGCCCTCAGTCTGCGACAGTTGTTAATACCAGATGCTTCAGAAGAAGGAACAGATTACCCTGCTTACCTGTAGCTTGGTGTAATCGATATGTTGAAGCCTCCATATCCATACAAGAAGGCGGGATGAGAACCATCCAATTTAATTCCTTTCTTGTGAATAATAAACATCGGGATCTTAGTACCATCTTTGCTAGGGTAGAAAACCTAAGACAAGAGAAAAAGAAATCTGAAATGCTGTTATTGTCCTAACTCTCCACGACTGCTGTTAACAAGAATCAGAAGCAATCACTTCCATGCTGTCCAATGGGTAAAACTTTCCGAGCAATCTGCACCAATTGCCCAGGTCAGGTTTGGTAATGGCCATCACCTGCTTGGTTGCTTAATAGCTCTGGAAAACATATCAAAATGAGACAATACAGAAGGTCTGACAGTATCATTTTTATGTATCTTATCCATCAATTCTACATACAAGGGGGTTTAAGAAAATGCTACAAAACCAATACAATTCTCAGCAAGGGAAGACTGGTGGTATAAAAACGCAAGAACTGTATGGCCCATCATATATGAAAGCAGCAAAGACTGAGCTTGCAAGGAGAATGAACAGAACTAAAACCAGATTTCCAATCTAACATAATAATTTCTAAAAATGTCTCCTTTTTAAAAATTCAAAGTTTCAGACATTAGAGAACAGTGGACAGAGAAGAAACTAACTCATGGTAGGGTGCTGACTTAGTGAGACCCCGCTAAACATTACATTGTTTTTGATAAGAGAGCACTATGTTACTACCAAATAAATATGCAAAACTCTCTGAAGATCTAGTCTTGTACCACTGAAATCAGAGAATTCCTTTATATAAGTTGATGCAACAGCCTTTGCTTGTAAAAACATACATTTAATCACAAGCAGAAGGCCAAAGATATTTAAAAGGTCACAGTATTTTGGTTTTAGTATTAATACATTAGCATTAACAACATTACTCAACGGAGTCACTCCACACACCAGATTCAAGTCAAAAAGGTAAACTCTGAATAGCTGAAAACACTGTTTTTTACTAAGTCTTGTGAAAACAGCAAAAAGCTGACTACTCAACACTTGTACATGCAGCTGGAATTCATCACCAAATCAAGTCTGTATCCAGCAAAAGCGGACTAAGCGTTGGCCAGTCTTTCCAGGTTGTCTCAATGACCACAGCACCTCATCAAGGTGGTAACATAAGCCATGACAGAAACTTCCGTGGCACTCAGTGCATTCTCCAGCACTACCTAGCAGCTAGAACCGGGAGCCCTAATGCTGCAGAACCCCCAAGCCCATCCAGCAAGACAACTGAATGACCCGCTGGCTTTCAGAAAATCAGCTCCCAAAACACCAAGTATCCACACAGCACATGCTTTCATGTGCCTTTCTATTACTGCCACAGCACCGTGCAAACTTATAAGCTAAATTCCATGTACACACACACAGACTGCAATGGCTTATCACGGTTCCCATATCTTGTTTTGATGCATGTATCTGCCTGCATGCTCTAATTTAGGATCCAGCATGTCTTATTTTGCCAGTCAAGCAAAACACGTGGGTGTGAATGGAGTTTACTGTTTGTCATAAAGTTCTCGTTGGCTACTTTTCATTGCTTTGGTTTTAGCATCATTATTTGCAGCTTCTAGTCTAATCAGAACAAAGAAGTAGTAAACGAAGAATGACATCCTTATCATTTTGTTGCATGTTTACAACCTCTGTGCTCTTAAAGGAAATAGACCTACCATGCTTTATAAAGCACACGATCAACAGGATCTATTTTTATAACACATGAACCCCCAACAGTAATATGAACCTTTGCAACACGTTTATTCTGAGCATTGCTTGTAATGTGAAACACGTAAAACCACATGGTGCATTGAAAACAAAATAATCACGTTGAATTTTAGTTTAATCATTGCTAAGGAAATGCGAGAAATTTCAAATGAAACCACATCTACCTCTGAAGGCTTCACTAAAACCTGTAGATGTATTCCAGATAAAGTTCAGTATTTCACAGTTCCCAGCAGATGGAAAAATTCAGAACAAAAGCCTGAAGGCATTTTTACAAAGATGAAATCACTGTTTCTAATTACTGCCACAACTGTATCTTTACCGACAAAGCGCTCATCAGAACTCACTACAGTAGAATACAAAGGATTTTTATTTTAAGTATTTAGCTGAACTCTATAAACAAATAAAATATCTGATGGACAGGAGAACTGCTGAGGCTGGTGATGAGAAGTTCCAGAGAGACTCCTCTCTCAAACTTCAGTTGCTGCTGGCAATTCACACCAAGTGAGCATCCATCCCTCCTATGCTTCCAGACACTTACTGCTGTTGGCCAGTCCTTTCTTGATGATTAAAGGATGCCACTGATTTTCCTGCTTCTTTCTGAACATGGGCCTTTTTTTTTTTTTAAACAACCCTCTGAAAACTGACTTCAGCAGGGTTTTTATCATCATCAGTTAAGACTGAATAACATACCATTAAATGGAAACACAACAAAAAAAAAGATGCATGTCAAGGTGACATTTGGACTAAGCGTTGGCCAGTCTTTCCAGGTTGTCTCAATGACCACAGCACCTCATCAAGGTGGTAACATAAGCCATGACAGAAACTTCCGTGGCACTCAGTGCATTCTCCAGCACTACCTAGCAGCTAGAACCGGGAGCCCTAATGCTGCAGAACCCCCAAGCCCATCCAGCAAGACAACTGAATGACCCGCTGGCTTTCAGAAAATCAGCTCCCAAAACACCAAGTATCCACACAGCACATGCTTTCATGTGCCTTTCTATTACTGCCACAGCACCGTGCAAACTTATAAGCTAAATTCCATGTACACACACACAGACTGCAATGGCTTAACACGGTTCCCATATCTTGTTTTGATGCATGTATCTGCCTGCATGCTCTAATTTAGGATCCAGCATGTCTTATTTTGCCAGTCAAGCAAAACACGTGGGTGTGAATGGAGTTTACTGTTTGTCATAAAGTTCTCGTTGGCTACTTTTCATTGCTTTGGTTTTAGCATCATTATTTGCAGCTTCTAGTCTAATCAGAACAAAGAAGTAGTAAACGAAGAATGACATCCTTATCATTTTGTTGCATGTTTACAACCTCTGTGCTCTTAAAGGAAATAGACCTACCATGCTTTATAAAGCACACGATCAACAGGATCTATTTTTATAACACATGAACCCCCAACAGTAATATGAACCTTTGCAACACGTTTATTCTGAGCATTGCTTGTAATGTGAAACATGTAAAACCACATGGTGGATTGAAAACAAAATAATCACATTGAATTTTAGTTTAATCATTGCTAAGGAAATGCGAGAAATTTCAAATGAAACCACATCTACCTCTGAAGGCTTCACTAAAACCTGTAGATGTATTCCAGATAAAGTTCAGTATTTCACAGTTCCCAGCAGATGGAAAAATTCAGAACAAAAGCCTGAAGGCATTTTTACAAAGATGAAATCACTGTTTCTAATTACTGCCACAACTGTATCTTTACCGACAAAGCGCTCATCAGAACTCACTACAGTAGAATACAAAGGATTTTTATTTTAAGTATTTAGCTGAACTCTATAAACAAATAAAATATCTGATGGACAGGAGAACTGCTGAGGCTGGTGATGAGAAGTTCCAGAGAGACTCCTCTCTCAAACTTCAGTTGCTGCTGGCAATTCACACCAAGTGAGCATCCATCCCTCCTATGCTTCCAGACACTTACTGCTGTTGGCCAGTCCTTTCTTGATTATTAAAGGACGCCACTGATTTTCCTGCTTCTTTCTGAACATGGGCCTTTTTTTTTTTAGCAACCCTCTGAAAACTGACTTCAGCAGGGTTTTTATCATCATCAGTTAAGACTGAATAACATACCATTAAATGGAAACACAACAAAAAAAAGATGCATGTCAAGGTGACATTTGCAATTTAAGAGTTTTCACTCCTCTCTGCTAAAATAATGATTACCTCTCCCTCGAACATGAACAAACGGGAGGGGGGTGGAAATCAATTCAGTGAGACACTGAGATATGCGAAGCTATTTAAGCTTCTCCAAATAGACTATTTCAACAACTGATTCAATCTCACCTTTAAATTAGGTGTTATCTCTGAAGCAAGTCCAATGGTTTGCTCATGTAACCAATAAAGGGGCGTGCTTCTATCTCAAAGATTAAGGTAAACTGGAAAGGGCAAGCACTAAAAAGAAGAATTTCCCAAGATGGTATTTCATGCCTAATTTTAGAAGCTGTCAGCTTTTACAGGAGTAAATGCTTGTAAAAGGGTACTACTGTTTTCTGCTTTATCACAGATAGGGGTGATCCTCTTGTACTGGCCGCATTATATTACTCATTGCTCTCATATTTTCAACTAACGACTCGTATCACTACAGCCATGAGCACATATAAGAGGACAAATGAGCAAAGTGATTTGGGAGGGAAAAGGATGGAGAACAATGCTTCAGGCATATTATTATGAGTGCTGAAAGGATTCATTCTCCATTCAAGGAGAGACATGATAAAAATAAATACGTTCAGCCTCTAGGAATGCACTAGCAATGCTGTGTGGCTGTCAGGGCACTCCTGCTGCATGCAACCCTTCGTGCTACTCGAGGAGCACACCACCAGAGCAGTACCCCAGCCCTGAAGCAGTTGTAGCTACCTTCGGCTCATGCTCATGTCCCTGTCTGTCACACAGCAGAGCGGTCTCATGCCAGAAAGAATCTCTTTCAATTCAGATGCCGGAACCTGAGGCATAAATTTATAGCCCCTATTCATCTTATTATGACCCAGGGAGAAAGCAACGCAGTTTGTATAATTACTCATTACTATAAACTATGTGAAAATTAAGCTATATAAGCTATACAAACAGCAACCTTAGCCATTCTTCTTTAGTGCATACTTACATATTTATAGAGTGGTTTTGTTTTTTTTTTTTTTTTGAACTTAGCTTTTGAAAGCAATTTACACTCCCTTTTCAACTAAAAAAGACAACAGAAGTTTACTTCCAAGACAGTTTACAGAGTAAGCTTTGCAAGTAAATACAGTTAATGGCACCATGATAGGATTTGTAAATTTAATCAGGAGTTAAGTAGGATAAAGAAGTTCTGTACATTCCTGCCTGGGGAGGTTTTTGCCCCCCCAGTTATTATTTGCTTTAAATGCGCAGTATTTATGTTAGG